ATAACTAATAAATTAAGTTAATAAATTCAAATAATAAAATAAAAGGAGAAAATCGGGTAAAGTAATTACAAATAGAATAAGTGACTAATTTATCATATTTAATTAAAAAGGTGATTATCTAGAGACCGGATTAGAAGAGAATAACTAGGAGCATCAGGACTTAAGGTAAGTTTCTCTGCCAATCCAAATTGTTTCCTCGTATTATATGCTTATTATGCATTATGTGATTAAGTGTGAATTTTGAATGTGTACTATTTGGGGTGACTAAGAATTTGAGAAATATTGAAGGTATATTTTGGGATTTAATCTCTAGTATGACTTTGGAGTGAATTTTTATGTAAACGAATTTTGGAGTATTTATGAATGTGAATTTTTGGTGGACGTATCTATTAAATAGATATTCTGTAAGACTATATATAGAGATGATTTTCAAGGAATAATGTTTTTCAATAATTATTGACATCTCGAGAGAAACACGAGGTGTGGGTGGTTAGAGCTATATACCGCGGGTTTAGTTTAGGTTTATGATGATTATTGGTGGCGGGAGAAATCTCGGTAAATATTGGTGGCGGGAGATTCCCGGTAGGGGGACGTTGTCCGAACTACTTGGACTTCTTACTACTCGGAGGGCTTGGAATCCCTTTTAGGGGGTGTGCACACTTAAGGGTGAAGTTCAGTTTCCAATTGGTGGTCGGTGGGAGCCGGGATTCCGGGATGAGTCGTACACAACAACGATTCATTGGGCTCGAGGAATCTTGAGTTTCGTCCATCTGAAAGTGACATTGATTTCGGAATGGTGATACTTTTAGCTTCAAAAGTTATTTTGAAAAGTGATACTTCTTTTGAGATATTAATTAATTGTTGGGAGCTTATAAATATTATTTTTTTATTATAAGGGTATTTGAGATTGTTGATAAATAATGTTTTGAAAAGAATTTCGGTGGTGTGAGTATTTTTATATATAGTATTATATGAAAAACTATTTTTGGTCAAACCTGATTATTTTACGGGGTTGGGTAGTACTTACTTAGCTCTAAAGCTAATTTTTGTTTCCTTTTCTTTGTTTCGTTTTCTGCACTTTATTTGTGCAGGTAATGATGAATACGAAGCTCATGATGTTTGATGAACCTGGAGAGCGCTTTAGAAGAATTTAGTGTAGTCTTCACTTAGATTAAATAATGTTAGTAGATTTTGAATTCAAGTTTTTAATTCGGTTGAACTCATGGTGGATAGCCTTAACATCCAGCCAAGTTGAGGGCTGGGTGTGGCGGTAACACGCCCTTTTTCCATTACTGTTATTTCCGCTGCAAAACTCTATCTATTTTTAAAGAATAAATGAAGATTGTTATCAATATATTATTATTTCAAGTATTATTTTGGGCGGGAAAAATGGGGGTGTTACATCCACGGATAGCTTGTGCGTGATTATGTCACGACTAATCCCCGACATTTCATCGGGGCCCAGGGCGAAAATGACCTTGTATTTAACAAGAACAGAGATAATTGTTTGCCTCAATCCCGACTTTAAATTTGTCCCGATCTGAACAACTCTTTCTGGATTGGACTGGTCCAGGATGGCAGTCTCCAGTGCGCCTACAGGCTCAGCTTTGGGAGTTTCTTCCCCAAGCGCAACCTGTGAAATAGTATTGATGCGCATGTCCCTGGCTGCCATTCGCTTTGTCATCTTCATGTAGCAGCAGGATCTGGCTATTTTCTGGTTACGCCTGCAATAGCTGACCTCGGTCTCAGTCGTGAATTTCATACAGAGGTGCTGCATGGAAATTACTGCTTTCCAAGTCCTCCAATGCTGGCCTTCAAGGTATGACATTGTGGGCGCACTCGAGTCGCACCACCACGAACTCCACAGGGATCTTAGAGTGGTGGGACCCATCCCCGAATCTAAGGGTAAATTACGAACGGATTTCTCGAATGAATCTGGTTCCCGCTCCTCATCTCTGGATCTGCGTTCATGGCCACGCTTCTGGCCGGATTCTGGTTTCCGGACAAACCGTGTCAGGTAGCCCCGATTGATCAATTTCTCGATCTCCAGTTTCAGCGTGTGGCATTCATCTGTTGTATGGCCATGAAACCTGTGAAACTTGCAGTAGGGGCCTGGCTTGTCCCCTTGCTGAATTTCGTTGATTCGCGGGTCCCGAACCACCAAGCCTTCCTGATCAGCCGCTTCCAGAATATGGGTGACAGAATGGGTCAGCGTGGTCAGGACCTCGGGCTCCATCAGCTTGGCGCCATTCTAGGGGCGTCTGGTTCTAAAGTTGCCCCTGCCTCGGTGCCTGTCACCGTCATCGCGGGGTTTTTCCTCCCGCGGTTGTTTTGGTTTCTCCTGCAGCTTCTGCTCCTGCTTCTGGGGCTTAGCAGCATTTTCCTGTGCCTTCTTGCGGCTATGCACTTCCTCCGCTAAGACATAGTTCTACCCGCGGTGGAGCGCCCGCTGATAGTCCCGCGGGGGGTCAATAATAAGTCTCCTAAAGAAGCCACCAGCCCACAGGACCTCCTGAAAAATGGCTAGACAGGTGTTGTCGTTAGCCCCATAGACCTTGGAGGTCTTTTCATTCCATCGTTCGAGAAATTTGCCCAAAGGCTCATCTCTACCCTGCTTAACGGATTATTGGTGTCATATGAAAGGTTAAAAAAAATTACGAATTGTGATATATTTTATGTAAAAATTGGAACAAAAATAAAAAAGTTATAATCATTTAAAAGATAAAGAGAAATTTTATTTAAATGGGTCCCACAACCATCTCTTTCCATTGGCGGTCGGCTGCCTTCTTACCCAAGTAGGCGGATGAAAAAAGTTTTAACCCAACCCTAATTTGGTAAATACTCTTTTGTTTTGCCATATTTGGGAAAAAAGCTCCTATTTTTTAGTAAGAATTGAAAAAAATTGAAATCAAACTAAAATGAGTTGTGCTATAGGTACCTTATTTTGGGTAACCATTTTTACCCCACACATTGAGTGGTCCAAATGAGGCCACACCGAAATGTATTGGTCATTTAAAAATGTTGCCTCATTTGTAGCCACACGATAGGGTGAGGTAAAAATGGGTAGGGTACCTTTGGCATTTCACAACTAAAATAAATCAACCCAATCAAACCACGAGTCCCGCTTCGTGTACACGTCGGGTTACACGCCGGTTACACGTCGGTCAAATTGTATGTATACAAACAATTTGATCGGCTAGACATACAATTTGACCGACGTTTTATGAAGAAAATCGATTTCCATACAGACAAAATATCAAGAGTTGTCTGTATTACATACATTTTAAACCTGAATTTTTCATAAAGTATCTATGATACAGACATTTTTTTATTTTTATCTGTGTGAAAATCGGTTTTTTTTCGTAAATCACCGCTCAATATGTCTATGTAGTCGATCAAATTATCTGTGCACAGATAATTTGAGACGTGTAACCCGGCGTATAAAACTCAACTGAACCATTTATCTAGCTCTTCCAATTTTTTTCTTCTTCCAATTTCCACATTCTAGAAATGGTGAACGGGGACGACTGGATCGCCATGGATAAGTTTTACCACGTCCTCTTCTGCTTCTCCATCGCTATTATCACGTCCGTAGTTTCAAGTCGGACCCGATACCCTTTCATTAGGCGCAGAAGCATCTGGGTCGGATCCATCGTTTCCCTTGCTGCCGGTGCCGCCAAGGAGGTTGCAGACCAGCTAGGTTTTTTCAAGTCCGCCGGTGGTTCGGCTAAAGACGCCGTAGCCGACGTCCTCGGCACTCTAATTGCTGCGTCAATTCTATTTGTCGCTAAACCCTATGACATAGCAGTTCGGCCACCGTTGATCGGCGACAAAGAACTTGAAATGGTTTGAACCTTTTACAATTGTGAAATGTCTAAAGTAGCTTCTGATGTTCGGATCAAGAACTGGTTGGATGCATAATGAGTATCTCAGAAGTGATTATGCTCAAAGTCTCTTTTAATCACATTTTGGTTGTATTACATGTTATACAAGTTCTGAGTTTGAAGTGGTGGAGATGGAGTAACAAAATTGCACTGTTTTCGGAGAAAATGAGTATATGAAACATGGCACTTTTTTGGGATGGGATGAGTAACAAAATACTCTTATGTGTCCCAAAAAGAAAGGCTTTGTATGTAACATCTTTAGTGCATTGTGGTTGAGTAATACCATGTAGACCGTAGTTGTGATGCCAGCTGAAATAGTTTTGGAATACTAATTTCACATCTAATTCTCACTTTTATTCTATGGTAAAGTAAAGGTAAATAAATGTGTGCATAATTAGAAATGCTGACTTGTAAGCCACACGCGGACATATTGCATATACTTGTAGCTGATGTGGATCTCCACTACCCTCGTTAGGATAATTATTACCCGCACGGGTAGCTCAGTTGGTCGAGTGGTGGGAGATTTGGAACAATGAACTAAGGTTCGAATCCCCGCAGTGACCGGACCGGGTGGAGGTCACAGAACCTGAAATAAGGGTGGGCCTCTGGTGCGCATGGTTGTATGGGCCTACTGCCATTCTGGTGACTGAGTCACTGTGACTAACCTCCCCACTGTGACTAATCTCCTGGGGTGGGAGATTCCACCTTTTGGAACAACAAAGGATAATTATTTGGCAAATTATTTGTGGAACCCCACCGAAAAGAATTTGAGAACGTGAATGGATTTACTAACACATAGCATTTCTATATATTCAAAGTTTGTTAACTATGAAGCTTAAACCTCTCTTATATAGCCGGGCAAACTCTCAAACATCAGCCAATTTACAGGTGGCAAAATATCTTCTCTATAACTATAAATGACAAGCATGCAAGAGTTACCCTTTTTCTTTTTCACCACCATCATTACGTTTTCTCAAATCTGTTATCCGTGTACGTTCTAAGTCACCTAAACTCTATTGTTTACAACATTTGACAATGGACATTGATAAGTTATCATTTTCTTTCTTATCATATGCTTCAACATTAGATTGCATATAATGTCATCTTTGTGTGGTATGGTTCAACAATATTTGATATCGAATCAATGTACCGAGTGCTCTTAATCCCATTACAGTGATGCTGTAGTACAATGTCGGAATTACAATTGGATGGCTACGTAGACTAAAGCTATGTAGTATAAAATGCAGTAGCACAGTGTACAAAGGAAGTGTGAACATGTTCCAGTGTTCCACTCATTGTTCCATAGAAATTGACCTTTTTTTTGTTTAGGTGTAATGAGATTTGATTCATCACCTTCTGATTAGACATTCATCCCCTCCTGATCAGATCTTCAACTGGAGAAGGCTTTTGAAGATGCTGGCCATCTTCATCAGGCAGTTTAACTGCAGAATATACACCTGCACCAGCCAGGGCACCCAAAATAGGGGCAGTTAAGTATATCCATAAAGCTGTGTAGTTTCCTGCTGCTATTGCTGGTCCAAGAGTTCGTACGGGATTCATGGATGCTCCAGTTGTTTCTCTGAGAGATCAAGAGTAGAGGCTTAATGGATTATGTGTAAGCACTTTCTGCTGATTTTTTTTCTGTCATACACTCATACTCCATTGAGTGTTGCTTTAGTGTTGGACCAAACTTGATTTCAAGGTATCTATATAGTTTTACATAGATGTTTACTTTTATGTCCTAGCGATACTGGTTTTTCAACCAAGTCATCTGTGGGCAAACCTTGTTTTTCTGCCATTTCATCCTAATTTCTTTCCTACATATTTTTTGAGGCATATCCTTGCTGGTAATTGTTTAGGGTTGTTCACGGTCTTTGGTGAACCAATCAGACAGCAGAACCGGAATCGTTGGGAACTATGTTTTGGAGAGTCAAAGCAGCCTAAGTTCAACTTTAGTTTACGAAGATCAATAGGTCGGGCCTTAATCCCACCCTAAAGAAGGTTGAACTTAAATTTTAGGATTTGGAAACTGTATACTCAACAAAGCTGTGCAGTTATGGGCCGACTGGACTGGACTTGATCCATCCGAACATGATGCGGATTAATTCAGAATTCCAAGCTAGGCCCAAGTCAGATTTTTTTAAGAACCTGCCCCAATGGTGTGATCCAACCAAGAAAACAGGAAAGTGTAAAGTAATATGCAAAGGTGTTTGAAATTACCCTGCTATAAGTATGTTGAGTGCGACAGTGGCTCCCACGGCAATTCCTGCAAGCTCTCCCACCTGTAGCACGCTCAAACAATATCATCCAACTCTCTAGTTCTGGAGAAGAAAAATACATGTATATAGAGATGAGATTTTAGAGTTTTAACCCCAGCAATTCTGTTGCTGTAGTTTCAGACTGTATTAAGTTACAGCAAGTTTAGTCACATAATGACATATTTGACATCTGTCTTTGACTTTTCCCCTTTTAATCCTCAAACTAGTTTGAGAGTAACATTCCTGGTAATCGGAATTTTGACACAATATACAAAGGATCACTCTCACAACAGTTGGAGGTTTAAAGGTGAAAGCGGATAAAATGGTCTGTCATAGTAGGTGAGAAGATTAAAAGTAGAAAAAACATGTTTAGAGGACTTGTATACTTACAGCTCGAGTGTCGGTGGAAACCGCGGTAACAACAAACATGAGGTTGAAGCTGATAATGAATTCCAAAGAAAAAGCTTGAAGGTGGCAATCCCCACCACAACCACAGGAAGAAGGAACTGTGACACCTCCACCCCCCATTATGGGATGGAAGACTGCCTTCACTATGAATGCTGCCCCCAATGATGCCATCAATTGTGCACCTATATAAACTGGAACCTATAAACAAGCAGATTTTTCACAACGTCATCTATCTGAAAAGCAATCTCTATAGTCAATTAGTCATTATTGGTATTCTAACAGTTGCAAGAAAACTGTAATTTGTAACAGAGTTTTTAATGGAAGCCCATTATAGAAGCTGTTTATTTTTTTGCTCTTCTCTTTGCTTCTTTATAATATGAAGACTTGAAATTGCATCCTAAAATGTCAATCTTTTTTAGTATCGGACAAATCGAGTGCTTGCTTGGGTTGAATTTGCTCTCATATCATATTAAGATTTCTAATTCTATCTTAATGAAAAACGAGTAGTGTAATGGCTTTTATGTGCATTTTTATCTTATATTTGAAGGACATGGCTGGATATAGAGTTTACATGTTTCCAGGGGAAGTGTTTGAGAGCAGCAAAGGCCAGAGTGACAGCAGGGTTGAGATGAGCCCCAGAGATGTGGCCGGTGGAAAGAATGACAATCATAACAGCAAGACCAGTGGATACAGCCAACCCTAGCAGCGCTTCACTTCCTTTTCTCTCTTCATTCACAACCGCGGTTCCAGTTCCTGCAAATATTAGTATCATCGTCCCTATCAGCTCTGCTCCGACCTGCACGGGTTTGTTATGTCAACCTCATTTCTTCTTTAAGTAATGTGACCACCAACCAAATCTTGACAGGATCGTAAGTCAACCATGATATGAGCACTTTCTGAAATGTAAGAGGATGCGTCTGACCTACCATACCTTTCTTGCGAGTGATACAGGAGGAGAAGGCAATGTGCATGATACGGAAGGCAAGCTTCCCTCCTCTAAACCCCACCCTTCCACATTGAAGCACTTACAGCTCTTAAAAAGGGAGTTTCTTCTGCTGCCATGGCCATGGCCATTGCCATTGCCATTGCCAGCTCTTTCATGCCTGAACCTTGAAAACAGTGGGGCACCAGGTGTGGATGGTGTCGTTGGTGTTGAAGGTGCTGATATACAGCCACCCTCTTCTGCTTCCATTTATGCTACCTGCCCCCAGAATTTACCTCCTCCTCCTCCTCTTCCTCCTTTGCTGGCGTTCTTGATGATGATGATGATGCTTCTAATAGACTAACTTTACACTCCAATTTAATAAAAGCGTGGTTAGTAAGAGTGAGCTATTTCTAATTTCTTGATGGTTGACTCGGGGAATCACTGTGGTGGGATCGCAGAGGCAAGAAACGGAGGTAGTGGATGCATTCCCAGTTTCCGAAGTATAAAGAGAGTGGAAGGTGGGGCGTACGGATTAAAAATGACATTGAGAGCTAGACCCCCCTGCATGTGTTCCTTTTAATTATGGCGGGGTATGGGTCGGTTGAAATGAGGCGGCCTACATTCTCACTGAAATGAAAATGAAAGCACTGAAATAATCAATCCCAAAGCTGTTCTTCTGGTTGAAGTCGATAGACCTGATGAAAGGATGTGGAGGCTGCTAGTCTAGATAGATTGTTTCTGCGTAGGGTATTCCATTATACGAAGTATGATTCTATTATTATAATAGGGACAAATTAGTCATTTAAGTTAGGGATATTTTTTATCGAGGTTGGTCTTTTTGAGTTTGTTGTAACGATTCCTTTCCTATGATTTTAATATAAAGCTGTTTGTTTTTATGATAAAAAAAATCAATAAAATTGCAATTTCAATACCCTAAAAAGAAAAACTATATAATATATATTTATTTATGAATGAAAATCATGCCAAATTATAATACAAATGTATAATACAAATAAAAATATCATTATATATTTTTATAGGATCAAAATTATACTTTAAAATATTATGAGAGAGTATTAAATGCTTAATAAGTAGTATTGTTAGTTGCTTATTATGAATATAATAACTACTTTTTATTATAATTTTGTATATAATTATATGTTTATTACTACCCACATCCCTTTTATATAGGGATGAAAGAGGGTGACATGATTATTAAGAAGAGTGAGTTTGTGTGGTTGATATTAATCGATAAAATAAGAATAAAGTAAGAAGATTCATAGCCACACGAACTTTACCAAATATGATAGCGATAATTTTAGTGCGATTTCCTGAAAAGGTAAAACGGGACAATAGAGGACAAATGGAGTATTATTATTAGAAATTGCTCTAAATAGGAGCAAAAACGTTTTGAAATTCCAAAATACTATCCTCCGTATCACATTAATTGCAACATTGGAATATATACACTATTCATGTACTTTACTTTGACTACATTTTATTTATTAATGTAAGTGAATTATTTTTTTGAAAAATATTGTTAAATTCGTCTCATTACTAATAAGTTTTATAATCTGATTTATATTTTATTTTTATTAATAAAAAATTAAATATAATGACGGTCAAAGTTGTGCGTTGGCAAACGTGAAGTGTTGACCGTTGCAACTAAAAAGAGACGGAGGAAGTATGAGTATTATGTTATTTATTAACTGAATAGGAGTAATCTGCCAAGTTTGGAAAAATGCCATGTTTTAAGGCCTAGTAATGCTAAACTTGGCAGAAATTTACTCATATTCAAGGAATAAAAAATAAGATACTCCTTTTTTGAAATTTCAAAACTTTTTTACTCCTATTTAGGGAATTCTCTCTATTATTATATAAACGTATAATCATTGACCAGGTTGACCCAACAGGTCCGGGTTGACCCATGACCCAGTCACTTGACCGGGTCGCTCACTGCAATAGGTTGTTTATTTGGAGTTGGTAAAATAATGTTGCAATAACATTTCACGACCATTTTAAACCTTTCATAGGATGACACCTCATCCCTGAGAACAATTGGGTTTCACTTGGCCAAAACTGAATTAAAATGAGGGAATGACGGGAAAGAGTAAGTTTTGGGAAAACCATTCCAAATAGTGTAGAAAAAAGTTTACATGACAAAAACAGTTGAATTGGCACCACGCGTAAGAGAAAGAAAGAAATTAGTTGTGGGACCTTTAAAAAAAAAACCCCTCTTTTTTGAAGTTTTATAATTTTTTTATTTGTTGTCCGTTTTTTATAAAAAAATATCAAAATTCATAACTTTTTGAGACCTTTAATATGACATAGATATATTGCATATATAAATTAAAAAAAATGAAGTTATAATTGTTGGAGTTTTTTAGATGAAAGAATGGCACGGATATCATTAGCAAGGTTTTCATTTCCATAAATATTACTCTTTTTCTATTTTCCAAAAAATATGACAAAACCTTTCACCTTCCTCTATGGCACAACAATCGCACCCCATCGCCATTTCCTCTCTCTCGACATCTTCCCTCTCACAACAATCGCACCCCCATCGCCCAGTCGTCGGCTCAATCTTCTGATGGCCGCCTCTACCGGCATCGCACCGCCATTACCCCAGGTCGCCGGCTCCACCTTCTGGCGGCCGCCTCTGCTGGCATCGCACATCGCCGCCTCCGTCGTCATTCTACTTCGCCCTTCGTTGCTCCGGTTCTGTTCTTCTCCTCCTTCTTTATTCCCTGTCTGATTGATGAAACGATGACAAAGATGGACCAGCAACAGAATGTAGAAAGACTAGGGTTTCCAGATCTGTGGTGAAGTTGCCGGCGGCTAGGGTGTAGGTGCTTAGTTTTCAGATCTGGTCGACAGAGACGATGGTGTGGCTAGGTTTTGCCTAGGCAAAGGGGGGGGGGGAGGTGGTTCAGTGGTAGGGGAGGGATGCGGGTTGCATAGTCTTGGGCTGCGCCGCGTGAGTGTGGTGGGACTGGGGTGCGGTGGCCGGCCGGCCGGAGTGGTCACGACGGGGGCGGATGTGGTTCGGTGACAGGGGCGGGAGGCGGGCGGGAGGGGGGGTAGGGTCTTGTGCAGCGATTGTGCAAAGCTGGGGTGTGGTGGGACTTGGGCTTGGGTTGGGGTGCGGTGGCTGGGCGGAGTGGTTGAGGCGGGGGTGGAGGTGGTTCAGTTGCAGGGGCTAGAAGTGGGGTCAGATTCTTGGGCAGCGATTGTGCTGGGCTGGGCGAGGTGTGGCGGACTAGGGCTGGGGCTTGGGTTGGGGTGCGGTGGGCGGTTGGAATGATCGGGGCGGAGGTGGTTCAATGGCAGTGGTGGGCGACTACACTCATTGGCCAGGTGAGCAGTCAGTCACTCGTCGGGGTTGGTCGTGCAGTCACTCATCGGGGCGGCGGTAGGAGTCACTGTGGCGGTGGAGTGACTTTGACCGGAGTCACTGAGATAGTGACTGGCGGAGGCGGCGGTGGCAGAGGCGGCGGTGCCGGTGATGGCGGCTGCGGTGCTGGGGTCGGCGGCTAGAGAGGTGCTGGTGGCTGCGGGACTACTAAAAATAAAAAGAATATTAATTTTATTATTATTTAAATAATAAATGTATGATTAAATAAATAAATAAATGACTTTTAGTCACTTTTTTGGAAAAATTTAAAACAAGTCACATTTTTATCTTTTTCATTCATTTTATTAATATTGAAATAAAAGGGTCTTTTTAGATTTAGATTTTTTTTAACTAGATCCAAGTTTTGAAATTAAGATCTCACGGGTTTTTATATCTTTTATTTATTCGTTGAATTTCCATTAAAAGAAATCTTCTTTGGGATTATTCCGAAATTCACTAGCTCCGTTTGATAGTGTCAAACTTCTTCGTGGCTATTCTGAAATACAATATTTTCCACAATCATTCTCCATTAATAAATCAAATTATCTACCAATTTATAAGTCCGTTTTGACCCTTTTTTCAGGTTATCAGGCTTATCAGCCAACTTTTTCACCAAACACGTAACTTTTGTTTTCACGAGATGAATTATGTAATAATAAGAAAAAGTAAGGTTGAAGTTACTTTTTTGGCTGTATTGGCTGAAGTTACTGTAGAGAATCATTTTAGCTATTTTTTCATATAATTTTTTCTTTATTTTATTAGTACAAAACATTTTAAATATTTTTTTATAAATCAGCAGAATCAGCCAACACGACCACTACCACTCCAGCCAGAATTTCATAAATTTCAGCAAAATCAGCGGATACGGCCCAAACAGGTTCTATATTAAAATTGGGTATTCACTCCAACAATTCAATTTTTCTTTACGGTCCACATGTTTAATATATTCACATCCGCATATTTTCATAATTTAAATTCTTACGTTTATTATTACGTATCAATTTTTGTGCAAATACTTTTTACAAGTAGTTATGATTTAAAGACTCAAACATTTCGATGAAAAAATAATAAATTTGGAGTTTCTTTAAGTTTACTCATACCTCTTTTCGAACAAATGTAACTGAAAGATTTAAAAACAATAATTGCGAGATCGTAATTTTAACACACGGATCTACTTAATAAAAATATAACACCTAAAACTTCAACAATTGGAATTTCAGATTTTTAAATTTTTTATGTACAGTATTAGTGTCATATGAAAGATAATAAAAATTCATGATTATCGATATTTTTTGTACAAAAAGAAGAAGAAATAAAAAAGTTGTAAAGTTTTAAAACCTACATTGTATTGTCAAATACCCAATCAAAATGTCTTTAATTATCCTTAGTGCCGGTTTGGTAGCATGAAAATCGGCTGATTTGGCTGATTCTGCTGAAATTTATGAAATTCTTGTTGAAGTGGCTGCATTGGTTGATTCTGGTGATTTAAGAAGAAAAATTATTTTTAAAAAATATTTTATTGATAAAATAAAGAAAAAAATATATGTAAAATTAGATAAAATGGTCATCTACAGTAACTTCAGCCAATACAGCCAGAAAAGTAACTCTAATCTTACTCCTTCTACTTATTAAAGCCAATACGTTTGAAGTGTCATTTTACTTTGAATTCAATTTATTGTGCATTAAATTCAATTTATAATAAAAAAATTTATATAAAAAAATTAGATTGTTTTTCTAGACACTAATGAAGGATATGTTTAGTTAATTCGAAATTTACCGTTTCTTTCCTTCTTGCATTTTATTTTATCTGTTTTAGAACATTTCTCCCCTTCGAAATTAAACGCGTGTATCACCCTATGTTTTGGGTCTTATACTTCAAACGTTAGTTATTCTAAATTTAGCCTGCTTCTCATTCGGTATTCACATACTGACCCCTTCGGGAGCCACCATTTCAGGTTGAGGCTAAAACGTGCTACAAACACCTTTTCACGGGTGAAGAGATCTCAAGAAAGATGTAGTTCGTACTTCCTTTACTGTTTTGAAACTATAAACTATGCTCATGGATATTTTGTAGGGGTTTTTTCACAACCGGCCTAAAGTCTGAAAGTAATTTTAGTTTTTTTCATTTTTAAAAGCTTTTTCAAATATAGAAAAGTTGAAGTTTCCCTTTCAATAACAGACCCTACGCGTAAACACTCTGCTCCAGGCACTTACTCCGTAACTCTCAGGTCACGCATGTTAATTCAAACACTCAAAACGTTGGACCCCACTGCCTTATTAATATTGAGCTCACGTACTTCCATTTTTTAATCTTAATGAAAACTAACAATTAAAAGCAATATAAAAAAAAATAATCATAATAATAATAATAATAATAATAATAATAATAATAAATATCATAATAATAATAATTACGGAGTATTATTATTATAAAAAAAACTAAAACTGAAAAACATTATAAACTCAGAAATAATGTATGAAACAGAAACATGATAAATGATCGGAAAAAAATATATATCTATGTCGAAAATAATATATATTTAATTTATGTACAAAAGTAAACATATACTTTAAAACATGGAAATCAGAAATTTGTATGAACACTAAAAATGTGAAATATATATAAAGAGTAATTTTTTAAAACTGGAATATATATACATACACACACACACACACACATATATATAGATTAGAGATCAAATACAAACCCATCTTAATTTACTAACCTACAAACTAATCAAGGCCATTCATTTAGTTCGGATCAACATCTGTTTCATGTTAACCGCTCACTTCAGACTAATTAAAAGTAAGGATGCTTTGGTCAATTACTCTTCTTTTATAATGAAACAGAAATCACGCTCATTACTTTCCATTCCCATAAACCGTCTATTTCCCGTTTCTTCTTTCATTCCATCTTTCCAATCGATCAAGGGTTTCATCTGTGCGCTTATCTTCCTCACCGAGATTATGAATTGCTCGAATTCATCTCCCCTCCCATCATTATCATCGAACGCCATGGAATCTGCAGGTACCTCTATATCTTTGATGAACTCTGTTTTCATACAAAAAAACTTTAGAGGTATTATGCCTTTTTGTTGTTCATGTTTCCTGGTCATGCATTTTTTTAATTTAATTGATTCGCATAACAAGTTGATGTTATCTTATGTCTTCTCGCAAATGAATTTCACAATTAAACGTTGATAATGTTACCTCACTTTACTCCGTATGTTTGTTTTTGTGTGAACTCTATTGTATATAAATTATTAATGAAACTTAACCACATCATCATTAACGTGAAGGGAGAATGATTATTTCAATGTCTTGTGAAATTTCTCTTTGTATTTCATTTTTTGTCTTCTGCAAGGTAAAGTATGTATTATGCATTTGTTTTTGTTTTATGGTGCATTTGTTTAATATTGGTTTTCTTTCATGTTTATTATTTATCCTATGTTGTTTACATAGATTTGAATTGCTCCTTTTTGAGTGTTCACCCGTAAAGAAACTAGTTGTTGGGATGATATTTCCTAATCTAGATGTTGGCTTGATTTTTACAGAGACTATGCAATTTCTAAACAATTTCTAGGGCCACAGAGAAGGGATGATCATGTTTTTTATAGACATTTTCATCACAATTTTGTTTTGAAGGGAGGGGTGTGGTGCTTGTGGAGGTCCAAGGTCAATTAGCTGGTTATGCAGCCGATTCCCTAAGCATTGGGATGATTTGTTATGATATAGATGCTGGCACCGAGTTCTACAAAGAGTTTGCCCCATAATGATAGTAGGAATTACCCCTTAAATAAATAGGATTTCATGATACGAATAAGTTTATTTAGTCATATTGTTTTGTTATTTTTCCATGTATTGGTATGTAAAATGTAAACAAATTTGCAAAATGAACTTATTCTTACCTTGTATTCATTGTATTTTATGTTCTGTACTATATGTGTGCACATGTGATTCACTGGATGCCATCCGTTTTTGTATTACAGTTTGCACTTTACAGCACGTTGAAATGCATTCTCAAATGCATTTATATGCATAATGGTTTCATCTATTTATTTAACGTACTCTACAAATGAGGACATTTATTTCTTTTGTTATTTGTATCAAATAGTTATGTGTTATATCACGTTTTAAAAAATTAGTGAATGCATTTCATAGTATGTATGGCTGCATTCTATAGACCGCCTCTTTGCATAATAAAGATAAATGCAGTAAGTCTGTTAATTTGAAATGCACCTTATACATCACAATGGTGCATCGTCATATGTTATGTAATGCATAGTTCACTATCTCTTCCCAATGTATCAAATGTTATGTGTTATATCACGGTTTATAAAATTAGTGAATGCATTTCATAGTATGTATGACTGCATTCTATAGACCGCCTCTTTGCATAATAAAGATAAATGTAGTAAGTCTGTTAATTTGTAATGCACCTTATACATCACAATGGTGCATCGTCATATGTTATGCAATGCATAGTTCACTATGTCTTCCCAATGTGTTAACGTTGTTGAACTAAATTTATCCATCTGAACGCATATGACACTTAATTACATCTAAAACTTAGATGCTCATACATCACTTCAACAATAATAAACCAACATTGAAAAATGCTTTCAAACTTCATTATCACAATATATTCATGTGTCACAGTGAAAAATATGCTCATATACATGCATGCTTTCCCAAATTCAGGGTAACACTTTACCCACACAATAGTCCTATTTTATGTTATATATCTCAAACGTATAATGATGCATATTATTGCTCATTGCAGTGCATCATACAAGTTGTTAAGATGCAAGTAAACTCAAACCAAAACTTCCCTCAACCAAAATAAGTCTTTGTATTGCACATTCACAATACAAACCGTCAACATAATACGATCTGTCATGAATGATGTTTCATTACTAACGTCATGTACAAAATTCCATAGATGTTCACCCACATAATAACATATGTTATAGCATGTTTGTCAAGTAAAATGTAAGAAAAAACACATGTTGTTTGAATCAGCTTCTCCTATGGTGCATTCAACCTCTCTGATTTATTGGTCTTCACAAATTCTTGCAGTTCTCATTCTCTTCATGCTCAGTTCCAATTTTCCACTATCTACTTATCTAAACGCCTGCATAGTTACCACAACATCATTGCATTACTAGATAACAAATGCAACTTATGAAATTAAACTCCATAACAAATTAAACTTTAATCTATTTTCATTTTTCTTAAAATCTTGTACTACTTTTCTGCCAATGCTTCTCACTTCAGCTCTTTGGAATCATCATGTTGTATATTCATCATTGCTTGCATATGTGGAACTTATACTCCTAATGTAATGACCACTATTCAATTTAGACTTATAGAATTTGAATAACGTCTCTTATGTAAAAAAATCTTGTCTAACCTTTTATCTTTTTTTGCCCCTTTGACCTTTTTGTTATGTTTAATGTTACTTGATGATACACCTTCTTGTTTTCTTTTAACTCCTACTACCTGTTGCTCTTCTCCATTTTCTATTATATGTACATGTCATTGTTTAGCTTATTTTCATCTAATAAAATTCACTAATCACACTACTGCACTATAGACTTGTAATAATGCATTGCGATTATATTAGTCTTGCATCTTATAACAAAACTTTATGCATATACGAAGCTCAAATATACAAGTGCAGTTATGTGTGGTTTCAATCATAACACTTGACTTTTAGTAAACACATACAACAACCAAAATATGCATAAGGTTGAATTCACTTTCAATCAATATTTAACCAATACTATGTGTTACACAATTCACATGCTTTAAAGTCTTGCATATAATATGTTTCATTACTGCATCTTACATCTACATTCCTGCATCTTACATTCGTTTGAAAATACAATGCCTGCTGCTAAACTTCTACATCTTACTTCTAAAACTACTGCATCTTTACATCCATTTCAAAGTCCAATTCCAAGTATCAAAGCCCTGCATCTTACATCTAAAACTCCTGCATATTACTTTTTTATTCCCTGCGTGTCAGTGCATCTATAAATACATCTAACTGCATTCCTCCTACAGTTACAAGAATGCAATATTTCTTCTCAATATCACTTAAAACATTATCAAACCTCTATCCAAAGCTACATTGCAATCCCAACTTATAATCTGATAGTATTCATCCTAAATTTCTCAATAAGATGAATTTCAAAAATGTTTGAATTAAATTAAACATGCATCCAAATTAATATTTTTGAATCTATATTGAAATAACCAGTGACTACAAATGAGTACCTTCATCAAGCTCATTTTGTATTTCATGCAACAGATTTTCCATTTGTAGCGAAGCCATTCCCTTTACTCGTCGTTCACTCTGCCTTCTTCGGTTAAAAAAATACTATCTGAAATCCTTGCTCCAGACTCGGAACGCGTTGGCGACTATGTTTTCAATCGACGATCCTCTGCAACTTACCTTTTTTCCGATGTTATTCCTGATTGATTACCTTGTTACTGCATACTAATCGTAAAATTAGGGATTTCTGTATTCAATCCTATTTTTTATGTTGGCGGCTTAGTTTTTTATTGTTAAATGACCTTCCTGACCTTTTGGATGACTTAAGCTTCCAGATAGGATTTACCGTTTTATTCCATGTGTGTCAGTGCACCCTCTTAATAATGCATCCCATTCTCAGAGCCGTCCGTTTCCTTTAATCCATCGACTGTCATTAGTTTGTAGTTTGCACTGGAAGCCTAGTTTGTATGGGATCTCCCCTATATATATATATATATATATATATATATATATATATATATATATGTGTGTGTGTGTGTGTGTGTGTGTGTGTGTGTGTGTGTGTGTGTGTGTATTACATATAAAGTAAAATATATAAATTATATACATAAATTCGAAAACACAAGAATTTTCAAACAGTATTTTATAAACTAAAAACAGAAAATATAAAGTTTGTTTCTTGTTGTTTCTCCATATTTCTTGTTGTCAATATCCATAAAACCACATTTATTACTAAAGGTGTTTTCATATACATATCTATATATAGATTTTGTATTTCAAATAAGTATGTAGCACATATAAATAGAAACCTAATTGGACAAAAAATTAGAATTAATTGTAAATAACAATAAACAACATGATACCACAAAATGAAACATGATGCAATAAAAAGAAACACATATGATGCAACAAAAAAGCATGATGCAAAAAAAAGAAATACAATGCAATAAAAAGAAACACATAAGACCCAACAAAAAGAAACAAAAACAACATATGAATTGAAAGTATCACTAAGAAACAAGATAACATATGAAAGTATCACTATAAATAAATAATTCGATCTATTATTTCAATGTATTACATTCATTATTATGGAGTATATTATTTGGCTTTGGATCTTATCATTCATTCTTCTTTTTATAAATCTTGATACAATTCTTCATACTTCATTCTCTTATCTTCATACAATTCTTTTTTGTGCCTGCAATGAGATCACAATCACTATGACCCAAAGATGACAATAAAGTAGGCAAAAACTTTAGCTTATACAACAAAATATATCTACAACAATATGACAACAAATAGGTTTATAGTCACTATAAACATAGTTTAAAGTAGCTTTACACCTGCAAGCTAGTTGCAATATAATTTCTACATGAAAAAGAGAAAAGTAATACGAAGTATTATTCAAGCATAGGCAGATACCGCCCTCTGTATAGACATAGTAAGACAAGATTACCACCTCAAAATTTAGCACAATCAATTATTTTATAAACACAATTTTATAATCAAAAACTTCCTATCTAAAAGTTAACAGACCTCATCAATTACCTTTGATTTTACATGAAAAAGAGTCGGAGCTAAATTAATGACCCAAGTCACTAGATGTGATAATTTTTTTCCAGAAAATAAAACATAACCAAAATGTATAAAGTGCACAGTCCATAGTAAATCAGAAAGACACATTAAAATAAACTCAAACAACCGCCTAGTGCTAAGCTATCTTCTGCTCCAAAACTAGGAGATTCATATTTTATTACTGAAGATAGTATCCGCTGCTCCAGAATTGTGTTACACGTTAAATTAAAATAAGTTTAACAACACAGAGGATAGCCACTATTTTAGAAGTTTAACAACAAGGATTAATCTTTCCTGTTGCAATTTTCTGAAAAATGAAAATCCTCACCAGTAAAGGAAAAGGTTGCACCAGGCCTTCCATCCTCATGCTTCCCTAAATTCATCAAAAGACAACCATTTTTCACTCATAGTGTTCAATTATCTATTAAATCTAGCAGTAAATCAGAAGCCCTGACCTCCTTTTTCTTCAGCTCAACGACATAAATCTTTTCGTTTAAACCAAGTTTATGTCAAAGTTAAACCAACAGTCGTCAAAATCGAGCTCTTTTTTTCCCATAAAAACAAAAAAATAGCACAAACAAAAGAAGAAATTACACAACGATTACAAGAAAAGAACCTTAGGGGCGATATTGAGGTGGTAAAGGAGCCAATTTTCTCGATCAATTCTTTTCCGGCATCAGAGGTGAGGTGAAGCTTCATCTGCTTCATTAGAGCATCGGATTTGAGCCGGCTGGAGTCGGCCATGGCTGCTGCTGCCGGTGATTTCTAGAAAGCCCTAACTGCCGATGGAGCAAATCAGAGTGGAGTAGTGTAGCCAAATCGATCTCTAGGACTCGGATCTGCCATTAAATAGAGAGAAAGATCGATGGATTATGATGGCGTTGATGTGCGTCGCGAGAAGGGGAGAATTCACTTTGCTTTGTCTTCAAACGGCGAGATATAAGAATCACCTTCGAGAGATGA